TTAGAGACAGGTCAATCAGAATTACTTCCAAATTCTTAGCAAAAATTCTAAAAGCCAGGAGGGCTTGGAATGATGTGTTCCAGGTCCTGAGAGAAAATAACAGTCAACTAAGATTGCTATATCCATCAAAGTTATCCTTAATAAATCAAATGATACATTTCAAGATAAGCAGAAACTAAAAGAATTCATGACTATTAAACTGGCACTACAGAAAATACTTAAAGAAATGCTTCACATAGAATAAATAAAAACCAAACTGCAGAACTCACAAATAAACAAACAGGAATTAGTAATAACAATTAATGCAAATGGTCTCAACTCTACAATTAAAAAACACAGTCCAAAATCAAGACAGAAGACTGGGTACATTCACGGCAGTGGTGTAATATCCCATGCTCTCTGCATCTCTTCTCCTCCACCTCAGTTTGGATGGCTCAGGAGAATGGCTTTATATATGTAGCCATTGCTGGAGGCAAGCTTCTCCGCCAGCTGTCTGAGGTCCAGGGCCTCAGGGTATCTGCCTCTCACCTGCTCCCAAATCTTCAAGATCATCATGATCAGGATGTGAGAAAGATGTGCCTGACCTACCACCTTCTGTGCTGGCCACTTCCCCAATCTCACCAAGGCCCCTATCCAGATGGATTCCTGAAACAAGCAATGGAGATTGATGGGTATCACACCAAGGTCATATTTGGTCTTACTCAAGGCAGGAGTTGTGTCTAGTAATCCCATGGACTCCTTCCAGTGTCTTGCCCAGTTCCTAAATCATAAACACACTTGCTGATGTCTTTGTGTAAAATATGACCAACATGGCTATTCTTCATATCATACTATCTTGGATAGAATAATGCCAACAACATTTGCTAGTAAATAATATACCACAAATTCTTATTAGAAGAATTGTGATTTGAGAAGTACCATTCAGGTAACCACAGAATTGGTACACAAATTTGCTGACACACACATAATGCCTTTGTTTGAAATCTCTGCTAAAAACCCCAATGATAAGGACCAGATGGAAGCCATATTTATGACCTTGGCTCACAAATTGAAGAGCCACAAATCATTAATGCTTAGTCAACCCCCTGATAATAGAATTATCCTGAAAACTAAAGCAAAGTCTGAAAGAACATGCTGGTGCTAAATAACAGCTTTATTTTACTGTATAATTTTGGCTAAGTAAATGCTTTTGAAGAATGACAGTGATGTCATAGGATTTAATCTCAGATATGAAGGACCATCCTAACGCCTCACTGTCTACCATTGTAATACATATTACTTTTGTATTGTATATCTACTTATACAATTTGTTACCATGGCAACACAGGGAAAAGTTGATTTTGAATGAGATTGAAAGTGAAGCAAAGATAGGATGAATCTCATCTTTTCATTGAGAGCCCACTGAAAGAGGCCTCAAGTGAGAGCCTGCTGGAATTGTAAATCAGTAACTGTTCACTCCCAAGATCCTGGGATTGAAAGATAAGTATGATTTAATATGCACCTACTGACATCTAAGTTATATTTGAAAGCAAATGCAGTGACTTCATAAGGTGTCTTATATATTATTTTGTTACCTTTAATGGTGAAAAACTAATTGAAAGCATCTGAGGCATTAGAACATGGGATGGGAATTGGTGAAAGGGATTCCTGGTATCACTTGTTCTCCCCTCACCCCATGCAATTTAATGTTCAAGTGCTGGATGAACTCAACTTGCACTTGGATTGTAGCTGGGAGGGCATCGTTCTAATTGCTTTGAGTCTATGTGTGTGTCTGTAATAGTATTGTGTTATCAATTTTTAAATGCTTAAAATTTATGGTCACAATGAACAATTACTTCAATTTGAAAAATAAGTAAGATATTGAAAAGTGTCTTGTCTATCCTCAATGGAAAGAATGCTTTAAATTTTTTGCCTTAAATACTTCTATTTTGAATTTAAAACTTTGCACATAGCTTCTATCTACATAAGTGGAATGTAAGTTCTGGACTCAGCTGCAGTGTGCATGTTCACTAATTCTGGTAGCTTACTGCCCTTGATAATTTTAGATGAAACTAAGCCAAAGATAATTTCACTTAAAATATTTTCAGAATGTGGGAAACCCAATTAAACATGTAATCTATTCTAGTTTAGGACTTGTTGTATATTTGTTTTTTAATCATTTGGGTGATCTTAACTGATTATTTAGTTACAAAAACAAAATCATTCTAAAGTAAACCGAAAGTAATACTTATAATAAATAATTGTTCAGTTTTAAGTATTAGAGTTTGAATTGGCTTTATTTATATTGAGGAAGATTACTCCATTTTTCTTAATTATGCTAGAATTAATAATTTAAAATCATTTTACTTTTATCTCAATTAACATTGATTTGTAACCATTTTTATAGGAACTGGAGTAGTTGTGATGGGTGTATTCATTTTTTAAAAAATGAATCTGTTTATTGCTTTTCAAAACATTTTCTGAAGTAGAGAAAGAAAATTTATATTTTCCAAGCACATCTATATTTTTTTCAGTACTGTTATAATGATTTTTTTTAATATAGTGCTGAGGATCGAACCCAGGGCCTTATGGTAAGCACTGTACCTCTGAGCCACAGCCCCAGCCCTATCATGATTTTTAAATGAAGTAATTTAATGTTCTTTTTGTGAGACATTAATAACAAATGTCCTTTACAGCTCTAAGAAAGGACTTATTTTTTACCTTAATATTTTTTAAAATTTTTAAAAAAATATTTGTACCACTTACAACAACTTAGCATTTTAATGTTTAGTATGTTATCAGTTGAGTGGGGACAAAGCTTTTAGGTATATTCTAAAATATTTATAAAACATTTTATTAACTGATGAAATCAGTTTCAAAATGGTAGTTGTCTAACAAGAAAATATTAATTTTTAAAGCATAAATCATACATTTTTTAAATCTGTGCATTTATATTAACTCAACTTTAGTTAAAATATCATACGTGTGTGTGGACTGTGTTGCGCATCGCAGCCTAGTGAATAGAATAATCTGGTGTCTGGGAATTTCCAGGGGACACTTCCTCTAGTTGACTGCACAGACATTGTGAGCCTATTTAAGCTCTCTCTGTCAAAGGTCCCACATAGCCCCTCTGAGATGGAGTAACCTGACCAGATGCCAATCAACATGCTGACTGCAAAACATCAGGAAGCAAAACTCCACCCTTGAAACCTTACCCCTGTCTTTGATGTACCCCCTTAAATAAACCACAGGAGTCATTTTCTACTTGTCTAGCTCCAGCTCCTGAGTGGGCTGGATCTATCAGGGGCTCCATCTTTCAAACTATCCTTTCTGACTCTTTGTCTTTTGTTCTTCCCTAATTATTCTAGACTTTAATTTCTCAGGAGGTTTATCCCTCTGAGCAGGCAAGAATTCCCTGGTGAGGTGCTGGCCACCCCACAATACAACATCACTAAACATCAGAGAAAAGCAAATCAAAACCACAGTAGGATACAACCTCATACACATTAGGATGACTACTACAAAACACACACATACAAACACAGAGAAAATATCAATTATCAATGAATATGTAGAGAAATTGGAACTCTTGTATACTCTGGTGGGATTATAAAATGGGCAACCACTATTGAAAACAGTATGGAGCCAGACATGGTGGCACACACCTCTAATCCCAGGAGCTCAGGAGACTGAGCATGAGGATCACAAGTTCAAAGCCAGCCTTAACAATTTAGCAAGGCCCTAAGCAATTTAGCAAGACCCCATCTCAAAATAAAAATGGCTGGGGATGTGACTCAGTGGTTGAGTGCCCCCCTGGGTTCAATCCCTGGTACCCAAAAAAAAAATGAGAACAGGATGGAATGTCATCACACTATTAAAAGTAGAACTACCATAATGATTTAGGAATTGCACTCTGGATATATATATATATATATATCCAAAAACTTGAATGTAGAGTTTGAAAGGATTATTTTCACACCTGTGTTCATAGAAGCACTATTGACAACAGCCAACAAGTGAAAGCAGCCCAACGTCCCCCGATGGATGAATGGATAAGCAAAATGTAGTATAAATACACAATGGAATGCTATTCAGTCTTTGAAAGGAAGAAAATTCTGTCACATGAATTAATCTTGAGAACTATTACTGTATGAATGTGAGGGCATACCCCACCACACACACACACACAGACACACAAAGTTTCTGTGTTAATGCAGCAATATTCAGAGATGAAATAATTAGATTGTGAGAGCTATAACCTAATCAGTCACCTTAGCTTGAAGGGACTAACTGGATGGTAACATTAGGCAGGTGGGGCATGGCTAGAAGAGGTGGGTCACTGGGGATCTGCCTTGGAAAGGTGCATCTTCCCTGTGGCTCCTTCGCCTCTCACTCTTTCTGCTTTCTGGCCACAATAAACAGAGCAGCACTGCTTCACCACACCTTTTGCCATGATGTTCTGCCTCTCCTCAGAACCAGAATAATGGAGTCAGGCCACCATGGACTGGATCTCCAAAACTGTCAGGCAAAGTAAATTTTTCTGGTCAGTTTTGGTCAGTGATGAAAATCTGACTAACACAAGGATGTTATGCCAATGAAATGAGTGAGTCATGAAAAGACAAACACCTATGATTCCTCTTAGATGAGATATCCAAGGAAGTCAAATTCATAGGAACAGGAAGTAGAATGGCGATTGCCAGGAACTTGGAGGAGCGTGGGAAGGGGAGTTGTTGTGTAATGGGCATAGAGTTTCAAACTACAGAAAAAGTCCTGGAGTTCTGTTTCACAACATTATGAATATATTTAACACTAGTGAACTATGTACTTAAAATACTTAAGATAATCAATTTTATGTTGTGTTTTTATCAAAGTAAAAATAATTAACTTTTATATAGTTCATTTTGATATCCAAGGTTTGTTTCTTCAACAACAGTATTTGTTAATCATCCACTTTTGTAACGATTGACTGAAAGGTGAAGGATTTATTTCTTCTAATGGGATTATTTTTCCTTTTCTATTAGGTATATTTGAAATATGTAAAGATCATCATCTTCAGTGGCTGCCAGATTCAAGGTGGAAGCAATGCCAATATGTCAGCAGCCAGCTGGAACCATTTTTACTCCTGTGCGAATCTCTTGTATCAAATATACCACAATGGAATGCTTTTAAGAACAGCAAGGCTATATATTCTCTAATTAGCACACCATTCTGTCCAGAAAATGATTTATCAGAGGAAAGTAGGAAATCACCAGGAGAAAGTAAGAAAGCATTCAGTGTTTTAAGTGTGTGTGCACATGTGTGTGTAGATTTTCAACTTATAAATGCAGTTCCATATCTTATGAAAAAAATTGTAAAGTGAGGCAAAGTAAACTTGTTCTAGGCACATGTTTCATTCAATGTAACCCTCCTAATAATCCTGTGAAGTGACTTTTTTCACATTTTTATTGGTTCTTTTTAGTTATACATGATGGTAGAATCCATTTTGGTATAATTATGCAAACATGGAATGTATCTTATTTTAATTAGGATCCTAGTACGTGATGTTGAGATTCACTGTGATATATTTGTACACATACATAGAAAATTATGTCAGACTCATTCCACTCCTTCTCCCTTCCCTTCATTCCCTTTTGTCCAATCCAATGAACTTCTATTCTTTCCCTCTCCCCACTTGTTGGGGGTTAGCATCCATATTTCAGAGAGAACATTCAACCTTTGGTTTTTTTGAGATTGGCTTATTTCACGTAGCATGATTGTATCCTGAACCATTTACCAGCAAATGTTATAGTCATCATTTTTATGGCTGAGTAATATTTCATTGTGTATATATACCACATTTTCTTTATCTGTTCATCTGTTGAAGGGCACCTAGGTTGATTCTACAGCTTAGCTATTGTGAATTGAGCTGCTCTGAACATTGATGTGGCTCCATCACTGTAGTATGCTGATTTTAACTCCTTTGGATGTATACTGAGGAGTGGAATAATTGGGTCAAATGGTGGTTCCATTCCTAGTTTTTGAGGAGTCTCCATACTCCTTTCCAGAGTGGTTCCACTAATTTGCAGTCCCACCAATAATATATGAGTGTACACTTTTCCTCACATCCTAACCAACATTTATTGTTACTTGTATTCTCGATACATTCTGGTTGGAGTGAGGGGAAATTTCAGTGTAGCTTTAATTTGCATTTCTGTAATTGCTAGAGATATTGAACATTTTTTCATACATTTGTTGATGGTTTGGATTTCTTCTTTTGAGAAGTGTCTGTTTAGTTCCTTTGCATGTTTATTGATTGGGTTATTTGGGAGTTTGGAGGTGTAAAGTTTTTTGAGTACTTTGTATATCCTGGAAACTAACACCTTATCTGAGGTGCAGGTGACAAAGGTTTTTTCCCCTTCAGTAGCTCTCTTCATGCTGTTGTTTTCTCTGCTGTGAAGAAGCTTTTTAGTTTGATACTATGCCATTTGTTGGTTTTTTATTTTGCTTCTTGTGCTTTAGGAATCTTGTTGAGGAAGCTGGTTCCTAATCCAACATGTTAGAGAATTGAACCTTCATTTTCTTCTAGTAGGTGCAGGATTTCTGGTCTAATACCTAGGTCTTTGATCCACTTAGAGTTGAGTTTTGTACATGGTGAGAGATAGGGGTTTAATTTCATTCTGTTACATAGGGCTTTCCAGTTTTCCCAGCACCATTTGTTGAAGAGGCTGTCTTTTCTCCAATGTATATTTATAGTGCCTTTGTCTAGTATGAGATAACTGTATTTATGTGGGTTTGTCTCTGTGTTCTATTCCATTGATCTTCATGCCTGTTTTGGTGCCAATACCATGCTATTTTTGTTATTATAGGTCTGTAGTATAATTTATCATCTGATTTTGTGATGCCTCCTGCTTTGCTTTTCTTACTAAGGATTGCTTTGGCTAATCTAGGCAAAATTTTTCCAAATGAATTTCATGACTGCTTTTTTGCTTGTTCTGTTTCTATGAAGAATGTCATTGGATTTTAATAGGAATTGCATTAAATCTGTATAGCACTTTTGGTAGTGTGGCCATTTTGACAATTTTTATTCTGGCTATCCAAGAACATAGAAGATCTTTACATCTTCTAAGATCTTCTTCAATTTCTTCCTTTAGTGTTCTGTACTTTTTCATGTAGAGATCTTTCACCTCTTTTGTTATAGTGATTCCCAAGGATGTTGTTGTTGTTTGTTTGTTTGTTTGTTTGTTTGAGGCTATTGTGAATAGAATAGTTTTTCTAATTTCTCTTTCAGATGATTCATCACTGGTATATAGTATTGCAGTTGATTTTGGAGTGTTAATTTTGTATCCTACTACTTTGCAGAATTCATTTATGAGTTCTAGAAATTTTCTGGTGGAGTTTTTTTTGGGTCTTCTAAATATGGAATCATGTCATTGGCAAGCAGAGATAGTTTGAGCTCTTCTTTTCCTGTCCATATTTCTTTAATTTCTTTCTTTTGCCTAATTGCTCTGACTAGTGTTTCAAGAACTATGCTGAATAGAAGTAGTAAAAAAGGGCATCCCTGTCTCGTTCCAGTTTTTAGAGGGAACTCTTTCAGGTTTTCTCCATTTAGAATGATTTTGGCCTTGGTTTTGCCATCTATACCTTTTTCAATGTTGAGGTATATTCCTATTATCTCTAGTTTTTCTAGTGCTTTAAACATAAGTGGATGCTGTATTTTGTCAAATGGGATTATTAAGAAACTGATAAGAAGTTAGATATTGTAGAAATGATAGTTTTAATACACTACACTAGTTTTGAAACTTAAATCTGAATAAGCCTACATATGTACCTCATTTTATAAAACAAATATGTTGTTCTAAAAATGCCCTGGAAGTGGACCTCACTTTCAATTTAAATGACTTGCTATTTTTATCATATCTTTTCTGTTTTCTTCTTCCACTTTGAACTCACCTATTCTGTTTTTCCCTGCCACTTCCACCTGTGACATCCCCACTTGAGTTACAATCTAATTTGTTTTCTTCCACATTTTTTTTCATTTTGCTTCCAGATATTTGCTAAAACATATAATTACTTGTGTAATAACATAAGCATCCTTACAAGGTTCCTCTGCTCTTATCTCTATAGGAGATAGAATTCCAAAAGTGGAAATGCTGGTCAAAAGTAAATTATTATTATTATTATTATTATTATTATTAGAGCTGGGATTGTAGCTAAGTGGTAGAGTGCCTGCCTCGCATATGTGAGGCACTGGGTTCAATCCTCTGCACCACATCAAAATCAATAAATGAAACAAAGATATAAAAAAAGTAAATTATTTTTTACTAATAGTTACTTCCAGGTTGATTATTTAAAAGTCTATGTTCAATTTATATTTTCACCAGCAATATGAATATCTTTTATCCAATTGAGATATTGGTCTTTTTTAAAATTGTGCCCATCTGAAAAAAAAACTTAAAATACTTGAGTTGTTATTTCCCATTATTAGCAAGCTGAAGTATCTTTTAAGATGTTTACTGGCAATTTGAGTTTGCCTACCCCTGTTTTTCTGTAGAATTTGTAAGAATTCTATTAATGTTATTAATAACTGACTTTTTGTGTCTTTAAATGTTTTTCTATACCTTTTCATTTTCTAGTAGACTTGTTTATTGTATATGTACTACACAAATGTTCAAATTTTGTTGATCATATGTTTCATGCTTTTTGATTTCCAGTTCTAATTTGAGAATATCCTTCCCTCATTTTCTCTCTGGGTCATTGTTGCTTTATTTTGTTGCTTTTGTCACTAATCTACCTGGTACCTATAATTTATTATAATTTAAGATCTTAGAACAGTGCTTTTTACTTAAACAGTCTCTATATTAGATTTATTAGAACCTTTTGTAAAGTGAAGATGGTTTTATTTTGCAAATAACCCCAAATTTATCCATTTGTAACTAAATTGTCACATACCATGGGTGCTTTTTTTAAGATCAATAAACTAATATTAGCCTTATTCAAAAAAGCTATTTTGATAATGAAAGTTGTATTTAAAATTAGACTTTGGGAAAATACCATAGAAATAAAAGGTAGGTGAAATTATAACTGTGTTTGGGATAGTTGGTAACAAAGACCAGAAGGCTCTCAATTTGCTATAGACTGTGATGCAGCAGGACTCCGTGATGGTGAGAAGAAGGGTCCAAAAGAGATATGATATTTTTTTGAAAATTTTGATAATCTTTGTTGCATTTCCATTGGATTCTCATTTCCTGTGTAATTGGTTAGTTTATATATATTGAAAGAACTCACATTTGCAGGAACAGATTGTAAAGTGTTGGCTATGCCAGGCTTGGTGACTCTTTCCCTTAATCCCAGAAACTCAGGAGTCTGAGGCAGGTAGATCACAAGCTCAAGGCCCACCTGGGCAACTTAGCGAGACCCTGTCTTATAATAAAAAATTAAAATGAAAATCAGCAGTAGACTACCCCTTGGTTCAGTCCCCAATACTGAAGAGAGGGAGCTCTAAATATACCCTTTGCTTTCTCCATTTTTCCCTCAGCTGCCCAACATTTTATTATAGCACTATTCAGCAACCACTTCAGCTGGACTAAATTGGAATTTAAATATACGTTAATGTCTACCGGTTTTGAGGTACAAAGGATAGTTAGTAATGCACCAAATTCTATAGAAATAAAGCTCACTTTAAGACAATCATATCCTTTTTTTAACTTCATAATTTTATAATAAAATTTTGTATTGTGACATCTCTTATTGATACAAAGTATTTGATTGTTAATCTCAGTTTCTTTTTCTCAATGACATCTAGGTGAACTTTTGAGTGAAAATGAAGAAATGTGTAATCCTACAACTTTTCCCTGGGAGAAACTCACTCCATTTCAAAGACTTATTTTGGTAAGATGTGTTATGAGAAAATATTAATATTCCAGATGTTTTGAGCACTTTTAGTAACTTAAACCCTATAAAATTAATATTTTGTAAGCAAAAATATTGATTTCTGAGAGCTAACATTTGATGAATGTTAACATTAAAGGGAAGCACCTAGACTCCACTGACCCAGAATGTCCCTTTCATGTGGTGGGAGTCCAATTAGAAACACTCCTGCATCTCTGCCCACTTATTTGCTCTTTCCTAGAGAAGGGGGAAGGGAGACTTATAAGACAGATAAATTTGAGACAGTAATTGAGAGTACGTGGCTCAACCCTTTCTTCCTTATCCATTTTTTGGTCTACCCTGGATACCAAGAGCACATGTTCTGTTCTGCTTCTCCAAGCCATAAATTATAGGATTTAGACCCTGTCCTATAGAGGTAGGTTGATGGCTTCCCAGCCTTGCTGTGACAGGTAAGTGTGTCTAGTTACATGATTCAGTAGCAGGAAGTACAGTGTTGCCTCACACCTAAACCACCCCAAATATGTTCTTTATTATTAATAAAGGTGATACTTTGCCTGCCTCTTCCAAACTCAATTGCTTTGGAATCTGGTTGAAGGATAGAAGGTTGATAGGTTAGGTATGTAAATAGGTGTCATTTATAAGACCTAAGATATAGAAAGTTTAGTGTGTGTTAAGCATTGTACATACATTATGTTATTTAAAGCTTTTAATAGTCTTAGGGGATAGGCAAGATTATTTCTCCCATTTTACAGGATCAGAAACCAAGGCTCAGAAATTGCCTAATAGAGCCAGGATTGATCCCAGGCAGTTTGACTCTGAAATCTATACTCTCAGCAGTCACATTATATTATACTTTCCAAAGTAGATCATCCTAAATTCATTCTGACTACCTCAAAAAACCTTTTTTATTTTCACATTTACCTTTTGCTTTAGTGAGGGGTAAACTCCTCATTTCATTCCTCTCTTGACCTCAACTCTATGTAAATGCCAGCCTGGACAATTAGTAATCCTCCTTTTGATTTCTGCCTTAAATTCTACTCTTGCAACACTAATATTCACTGAAGATAAGAGATTGAAGGGGGAAAAAAGGCTGCATCTGGCTTATAGATTTGTTTTATCTGGCCTGCAGCTTTGTCTTTTTTTTCCAACTTTCAAATGCAATTTATCATGAAACAAATGGATTTGAACCTATAAAGATCTTCTGTAGAGAATTTCCATCTTAGTCCAATTTGGGTTGCTGTAACAAAATACCTTAGAATGGATAATTTATAAACAAAATAATTTTATTGCTCAAAGTTCTGGAGTCTAAGAAGTCCAAGATCAAAGCTCTTGCAGATTCAACATCTGATGAGCGCTGCTCTCTGCCTACAGGTGGTTTGTTCTTGCTTGTCCTCTCATGGTAGAAGAGACAAACAGACTCCCTCCAGCCTCATCATAAGGGCACCAAGTCCATTCAAGGCTGCAGAGCCCTCATGGTCTAGTCACTTCCTAAGTCACTCCCCACCACCTTAATACTATTGCACTGGGGATTAGGGGCCAACATATAAATTTAGAGAGAACATCAACATTCAGACAATAGCAACTTCCAAGTTTTTAAGTAAAAATATCTAAAGTAAATTTCATATATTATTTTTAAGTTCTGTGTACTCATATCTTTTTATTAATTACTTTTTTATTTGTGCATTATAATCATACATAATAATGGGGCTCATTGTGACATCCATACATGCACATAATATAATTAGGTCAGTTTCACTTCCCAGTGCTTCCCCTTCCCCTCCCGGGCTCCACATTCTCTACTCTACTATATGTACACTTATATCTCAAAGTAAATTGTTTTCTGCTTTTTTTATTGTGATAAAAATATACATAGTTTCTTTTATTTCCTATAATTAATTCCTTTTACCCCTTTTTAAGTATGCCATTCAATGTCATTAAGTAGAGTCACAATATTATGTAGCCATCACCTATGTCCATTTCCAGAACTTTATCTTCTTCCTAAAAAGAAACCCTGTACCTGTTAAACAATAATGCCCCTCTTCCTCCATCTGACAGTTGTTGACAACTCCATTCTACTTTTTGTCTCCAGTGATTCAATATTTGTCTTTTTGTGAATGGTTTATTTCAATGAGCATAAGATTTTCAAGGTTCATCCATATTGCAGCATGTGTCAAAACTTCCTTCTGTTTTAAAACTAATATTCTGTTATGTGTATGTATCACATTTATTTATCCATTAATTCATTGATGGACACTTGGTTCATTTCCACTTTGGGGCCATTGTAAATAATGCTGCTATGAACATCAGTATATACATATATGTTTGCTTTTTGGTTTTGTTTTGAGACCAAAATTTGCAAATTGATAGATTTCATGTAATAATCAAGATTTCTGAGTTTGAAAAATTAAAAGATGAAGCACTACTGAGCCCACCATCCTTAATGGCAACAAGAGCTAGAGCTGAGGAATGTCTGTCCCATTGTCCCTGCTGCTCCCTGTTACTTCCCAGCCCTGAAGTTTTATGTTAGTTGCCACTTAGCATCATATTTGCATTTTTATTTTTCTTATGGAAGAGAAATTTTTTCTTCTACCCAACCCATTTCAATGATGTATATCATCTCTCTGACCACTGTAGACAGATTAACACCTCTACATGTAAGTCAATGGCAGTTATGATGATATGAAAATATATTTATGCTATATTAATTAACAAATGAAACACTGAACAATCTGTATAGGACAAGGAGAAGAAATAGGAAGATGCTAGAAAATGTCTATAAAAAAATCACAACCTGGATGCATTGGTGCATGCCTGTAATCCCAGCTGCTTGGGAGGCTTAGGTAGGAGTTCAAAGCCAGTCTCAGCAAAGGTATGGCACTAAGCAACTCAGTGAGACCCTGTCTCTAAATAAAATACAAAATAGGGCTGGGAATGTGGCTCAGTTGCCAAGTGCCCCTGAGTTCAATCCCCAGTACCCCCAAAAAAAATCACCAGAAAAACAAATAGTAGTATCTTGGGACTTTTTTCACTTTTTTATATCTTTTTTGTATTAATAAATTTTATTTGGCAAATATATATTACCTGGAAAAATTAATTAAATTTTAAAGTCCATGCTACATTGTCTTTCTCCAATAAGCTTCTGATGATTTTATTTTATGAACTAGAAACTTTATGAATTTAGTGGTTTTGTTTTCTAAATAAAAAGTCAGAAGATATGAATTAAGAAAATGTTGATTATACATATTAGGACACTGGGCCTGACCTGTAAGAAATTGAGACTGCCACATCAGAGATTAAATTAAAATATAACAGAAAAAAAAAGTTACCCAGAAAAAGACAGTGTGTCAAAGGTCCATGAGGGCAAGGACTATGTTTTATTTTCACCTCTCTGCACTACTACAGCCTACTGGACTGAAAATAGCAGGGAAAGATGACAAAAAGAGAATTGCTATATTAATTGACAAATTAATTTACTTGCTATATTAATTAACATAGCAAAAAAATTATTGATACAGCAATTGCTCTATTAATTGAAAATTTCTTGTTGTTAATAAAAGAGCTAGTGAAAGGAAACAATCAAGAGCATGAAGAAAGAGCCTACAGAATGGGAGAAAATCTTTGCCACCTGCATCTCAGATAGAACATTAATCTCCAGGATATGTAAAGAACTCAAAACTTACCACACACAAAAAGATCATCATCATCATTATCATCATCATCATCATCATCATCATCATCATCATCATTATCATCCAGTCAATAAAGGAGCAAAGAAATTGAATAGGCACTTCACAGAAGAAATGTTATTGATCAACAAACATATGAAAAAATGTTCAACATCTCTAGCAATTAGAGAAATGCAAATTAACACTACACTGAGTTTCTATCTCATTCCAGTCATAATGGAATGAATACAAAAATACAAGCAACAATAAATGTTGACAAGGATGTGGGGGAAAAGGGTACATTCATACATTGTTGATGGGACAGCAAATTGTTACAACCACTCTCAAAAGCAGTATGGAGATTCCTCAGAAAACTTGGGATGGAACCACCATTTGACCCAGCAATACCACTCGTCAGCTTACACCCAAAGGACTTAAAATCAGCATAATATATTGATGCAGCCACATCAATATTCAGAGTAGCTCAATTCACAATAGCTAAGCTGTGGAACCAACCTAGGTGATTCAATCAACAGATGAATGGATAAAGAAAATGTGGTACATACATACAATAGAATATTACTCAGCCATAAATAAGAATGAAATTATGGCATTTGCTGGTAAATGAATGGAACTGGAGGCTATCGTGCTAAGTGAAATAAGCCAACCCCAAAAAACCAAAGGACAAATGTTCTCTCTTATGTGTGGTTGCTAACACACAACAAGACTTCCTTATGTTCATGTTTGAATGCACAACCAGTTAAACTCTACATCATGTACAACCACAAGAACAGGCTCCTAATTAGAATGTTATATTCCATGTATGTATAATATGTCAAAATACACTCTACTGTCATATATATCTAAAAAGAACATTAAAAAATAAAATAAAACCACACAAAAAATAGTAGAGCTATTGGATCCCAGATTGTTTATACGCTGCCAATTTTTATTTCTTAAATTATTTGTCGCATTTAATTAAAATTTAAATTTAAGATTGATTTTCCAAAAGGTCACAGAAGAAAATTCTATGTAGTTATTAAATATATTATTTTAAACCTGAAATTGTCAATATCAGACAGTTTTACACTTACAAAAATGGCAATTTCCTGTGGCTCAACCCAGTACATCTACACAGACCGAAAGACACATAGAGTTTCAACTTTGTTTTACCTAATGGAGATCTGAACATACTCAGAAAGAACATAGTTTATGGTCATTCTGTACAAAAATAGCACATAAATAGTTTATACATCAAACAGTTTTGAAATTTTCAATGAATTCCAATTAGCTCTGAGCTTCTGTTTACTACAAAGATGCTGTTTCCAAAATATTTTAGTTCACATAGAGTTCTTTTCAGTTCTTTTGTTCTGTTTGCTTAAGCTTACCAAGATTGTGCTATTTGTCTTCATTTCATTAATGGCAGAATTACTACTCTTCCAGATGAGTAATCCTGGATCTTCACACCCCAGCACCATGGAGTCTTTTGGCTCTAAACATAGACAGCAGAGCGGAAGAAAAGTAGGAAAGGTCTCTTTTTGTAGAATCAGGGAGAACAATTGCACCTTTACATCAAAACAAGATCTTCCTCTGAGTGTAGAAGGGACAGAGGCTCAAGGTGGCCCTGGAATCAGGAAGGACCACATGAGGGTCAGGAGCATGGTGGCAGTTTTTCCATCAGATAAAGACCCTTTCTCATTCAGCTTTCCCAACATGAGGAATACCAGATAACTCTCAATGAAAAGCCAAGTCATGAACACTTTTTATTTTATTTGACCATGGGGAGTATATCCCTGGGTGATTTTTTAATTTACCTTTCCTTCCATGTCTTCTCTTTCAGATAAAAATTCTTAGACCAGAACATTTAACCAGTGCAGTGAGAACATTTGTAACTGAAAAAATGGGAAGTGAATTTCTTCATGGAGCCGGAATTAATTTGAAAGAATCATATGAAGAATCCACTGCCAAAACTCCATTGATCTTTATTCACTCCAATGGTAAGCTCTTCCTGGAGAGTGAAGGTTATGATAACAGTATGAGTCATCAGATATGAAGAAGTAGGTTCAATGTCAGGTTACACTCTTCTTAAAATAGTTTCCTACTATTTAAACATTTTGGAAAAGGGATTGGTTTAAACTGTATCAAGAATTAATCTTTCCACCTATAGTCCCTGGGGCTCCATAGACTGAGGCAGGAGGATATCAAGTTCAAAGCCAGCCTCAGCATCAGCGAGGAACTAAGCAACTCAGTGAGACCCTATCTCTAAATAAAATACAAAATAGGGCTGGGGATGTGGCTTAGTGGGCAAGTGCCCCTGAGTTTTAATCTCAGATTTTAAAAAAAGAAAGAAAGAATCTTTTTTAAAAAGTATAAAAGAACAAAGAAGAATAAAACTTCCAGTAGATGCTGATCCATAATGGGGAGCGGGGGCATGGAAGAAAGGAAGAACTTTGAATTGGACAGAGGGGAGTGAGGGGAGGGGAGGGAGTATGGGAGTAGGAAAGATGGTGGAATAAGGGCCTAGGTACATGTATGATTGTACTAATTGTGTGACTCACATCATGTACAACCAGAGAGATGAAAAGTTATGCTCCATTTGTGTACAAGAAATCGAAATGCATTCTGCTTCTGCTATCATGTATAGCTAATTAGTACAAAAAAAAACAAAACTTCCTGGACACACAAACATGGAAAAAATCTACTAGTGCTAATTTTCTGTGCAGAAAATACCTTCCAAACACAGAGTATTGATCCAAAAGTTGGGATTACCCTTATGTTTATTAACTGTTTTAATTAACATTGACTTGTACAGAATATATATTGTGAAATAATCTACCAGAAATTGGCCCTTTATTACTCAAAACTACATAAATCCTAAGTATTTTCTTCTAAGCAAAATACTTTATCTTCTCATCTTCATAGTCTCCCAGTGTAATGTGTCTTTAGAATTCAACATTTTCAAACTTTCCTTAGGCAAACACTAGAAGGTTTCCCTCTGCAGGCTTTCTAACGGGGAGCCTGGAATGTTTCCACATAAGCACCTAGCTTTATACCACACACTCTTGGAACCTTTGCTGTCTATTTCTTTTTTTTTTTTAATCCTAATTGGCTTCATTTTTAATTTTAAAATCAGGTAACACTTCATTCCATAAAACAGAATCAGTTTTCCTATGAGACAAGCACTCATCAAAAATAATTTGATGAGTTAACATTAGATTATTTATATTTCTTACACAAAATAAGGACAAGGGAACTTCACTATTTCACCAGTTGAGAATGGCTGTTCTCCCTTCAATCCAGATTTCTCTTGGATGACCAGATGTGTCAGCTTAGTTTGATTAACTCCATGTTGTTGTCCCTCCCCCGGCCGAATATTGTCTCTGTTGAAAAACTGGCTTCACAAAGAAGGTGGCAGCAGGAAAATTTCAGAATCCAAATCTTAAAAATAAGTCTTGGGCAGTGGGGGGGTTATTTTCTGTCTCTGGGGGGCATCATCCAGTGTCCGAGGCCTGGGGACAGAGGCAAAGTCCCCAGTGGCCCATCTAGGAGATGTCACTCTCAGTAGTGTCTGGTGTCCTGACCTGTGCTTGCCCAGAATGATGGTGGGTAAGGAGCAGCAGGTCACAGGGGCCCCCTGACCCTCTGTGAGACAGAGCTCTCCCTGGGCAGACCCGGGGACTGAGGATCAGCGGCCAGGGGAGAATCAACGACTGTCCCCGCCTGTGGTCCCTGAGGTCCTGGGGCAGGGATGCAGTCGGCAGCCAGTGTCACAAGATATTCCTGTCCCCAGCCAGGCTGGGTGCCTGGCTAAGCGAGGAGAAAGATGGTGTCCCTCCTCAGGGCCTGGCCCCTGCGCCTGGTCTGTCTTCCTCCCTGGCACCGCCTGGAAGGGGAGGAAGTGACACCCAAGGGAAGGCAAGGAAGTGAGGCCACCATCACATTCAAGTTCAGGGTGCGACAGCTCAGTCTGCTCCCCAACAGGCCCCATGCTCCGCCTCTCTTCATGGGCCACATCCCTTCTGAGAATCATGCCCTGCCCTTTATAGGCACAAGGACCCAGAAGTTCCAGAGACACATCCATGTTTAGGCCCTCAGATCCGGAAGTGCCTCAAGTGTCCATGTTTAGGCCCCCGGATCCAGAAGTTCCTCAGACATCCATATTTAGACCCCTGGATCCGGAAGTTCCTAAGGTGCACGTCCATGTTTAGGCACCTGAATCCAGAAGTGCCTCAGGTGCACATCCATGTTTAGGCACCCAGATCTGGAAGTGCCTCAAGTGCATGTCCATCTTTGGGCTCTCGGATCCAGAAGTTCCTCAGTCCTCCATGTTTAGGCCGTAGCATCCAGAAGTTCCTCAGGCACACGTCCATGTTTAGGCCCCCGGATCCAGAAGTTCCAAAGGTGCATGTCCACGTTTAGGCACCCGGATCCGGAAGTGACTCAGGTACATGTCCATGTTTAGGCTCTAGGACCGGAAGTTCCTCAGGTGTCCATTTTTTGGCCCCCAGATCCGGAAGTTCCTCAGGCATCCATATTTAGGCCCAGGATCCAGAGGTTTCTCAGGTGCACTTCCATGTTTAGGCCCCTGGATCCAGAAGTTCCTTGGTGCATGTCCATGTTTAAGCCCCCAGATCCGGAAGTTCCTCAGGTGCACATCCATTTTTAGGCCCTGAGATCCGGAAGTTCCAAAGGTGCATGTCCATGTTTAGGCACCCGGATCTGGAAGTGCCTCAGGTGCATGTCTATTTTTAGGCTCTAGGATTGCTGTCTATTTCTTGAGGACTTAGCCCAAGATGGTGGCTAGAGCTTCAGCCATCACCTCATGTGCTAAACAACAGCATGGAAGACAGGAAGAGGGTCACACCTCTTCCCTTCAAGAAGATACCCAAAGTTTTACACAGTGCTTCTATTTCTGTCAAAACCTTTTTACAAAAACCTAGATGTCCATACCTAGCTGGAAGATTAGCTAAACTATAATATTTTAGCAAGGTACACAGTTATTTCAAGCAACCCAGGAGTACAGCTAACAGAAGAGGAAGAGGCAAGAAGATGAAGGAGTAAATAATCAACTAGTACTGCTTTAGTAAATATTATTATACCCATATGTTAGAAAGTGGCAGAGACAAAATGTGAATTCTGGGCTCCAATTCCAAAACCTGTAGTCTTTCCACAATTGGCTACACCTTCTCTCACCACCAGTCAATAAATTCTGGATTGTGGGTTTTTGTTTTGTTTGTACTGGGGATTGAACTTGGGCTTATCCACTGAGCCACATCCCCAGTCTCTCTCTCTCTCTCTCTCTCTCTCTCTCTCTCTCTCTCTCTCTCTCTCTATATATATATATATATATATATATATATATATATATATATATATATATTTTGCTGGAGCTGGCTTTGAACTTGTGATCCTTCATTGTGTTTTTAAATAGAGAATTATATGAGCTTACGGTTTTATGTACCTCTCATTGTTACACAGGAATTGACCTCACCAATATTCTCCTGAGATTTGCACAAGAATTAAAAGGAACAACGGAACACGTGACCATGATTTCCTTGAGTCATGGCCAGGCAACCAAAGCAGAAGACCTCATTGTTCAGGCACTAACTAAAAGGCATCAATGGGTCTTCCTGCAGAACTGCCACCTTGCAGGGTCATTCATGCCAAGGCTCTGCACCATTGTTGAATCGTAAGATTGTTTATTTATAAGGGATCAGATGAATTATCAAAACTAGGGAATGCATAAACAATGATAAAATAGTGTGTTGGGCTCCACAGAGGAAATTTAAGCTATCACATAGGTGGATTCTTAGTTCTTGCAGAAGAACTAAGAATATAGGTTTTGATTAGGGGAAAAAATGGTCTCTTTAGTTTTTGTTTGCATTTATCACTTTCTCTTTTTCTCCCAGACTCTCACTCTCAATAGATAGATATGTATGCCATATACACAATATATATGCCAATGTATAGATTAGCAACATAGTTTTTAAAATAGTATATGATTCCAAGCAGCACAATATAAGGCCTGATATCCACACTTATGATGGTCTGTATTTAGTATCTATTCTTATTTTCCATAAGTTCAGCCTTCTTTTTTGCAGTGAATTGACTGCTATACTTTGAAAATTTCTCAATGTGTGGAATTAGTAAGATTTTAACCAATTATATTGCACAATGTTTTTCCTCCAAGCTAATTTTTTTGTTTTACTTTGTATGAACAACATTGTAGAGTAAATGTGTGAAAATAAGGGTCTCTTCATGCTGTTATATTTATGCTTTGTGCATATGCAAGGAAATTATAAAACCAACTGCCAGAATTAAATTTCCAAATTACTTTCCTTATATCATTCATGCTGTTTTCAGATTGTTATTCCATTAGCACTTTTTTCCCCCTTGTGCCAGGGATTGGACTCAGGTGCACTTAAACACTGAGCCACATCCCCAGCCCTTTTTTTTTTTTTTGTATTTTATTTAGAGACAGAGTCTCACTAAATGCTGAGACTGGCTTTGAACTCACGATCCTCCACCTCAGCCTTCCCAGCTGCTGGGATTACAGGTGTGTGCCACCACACCCAGCCTTTTAGCACTTTAAAAACTATCGAAAAGTATTTATTTTTCACATTTACTCTGTCACTTCAGAGCCAGAAGACAAACAGTACTTATATAATATCAGTAGATACGGATTTTAGAAGATAACACAATAATTTCTACCATGTTTTTCATTTATTATTCATTTAAAAAGCATTTATAGGGCATCTGCTATTTGCCAACTATCATTCCAGGTGCTAGAGATATAGCATAGACCAGACAAACACTGTAGCCTCATTTGCATTATCATTAAGGTAGAGAGGGACAATTCAATAGCAGAGAAAGATGTCTTATTAAAAAGAGAGAGAGAGAGAGAGAGAGAGAGGTGCTGGGGTTGTGGCTCAGTAGTAGAGCACTTGCCTAGCATGTGTGATGCACTGGGTTCAATTCTCAGCACTGCATACAAATAAATAAATTAAATAAAGGTTCATCAACAACTTATATATATATATATATATATATATATATATATATATATAGAGAGAGAGAGAGAGAGAGAGAGAGAGAGAGAGAAAGATACATTTTAAAAAGAAAGAGATATTATGGAAATATTCCTTGGAACAGAACTTCAAAGTCTTAATAAGAGTAATTCCTGATACATAACATTTTCAATATAATCAGTGTATGACTGATAGAAATTTATTCTTATAAATCAAGCCTTTAAATATTTAAGACTACCACTATAGGAACTACAGAGAGAAGGGAAAATGTTAAGAAATATTTCTTAAATTTAGGAACAAAAGAAATAAGTTCATGATATATTGCCAGGATGAAAACATATCAAGCTAGAAACAATATATACAGTGTAATTTTTCTATTTGAAAACGAGAGTGAGTCAGAAGGAGGAAAAAAAGGAAAAGTGTACTTAAACCCACCTAGTAGGAATACAGGAAATTTTTATCCTTTTATTTCATTTTGCATTCAGTGATTTTTTTATTTTTTGCTTTTATTGTTTTGGGGTTTTTTTCTAAATTTTTAAAAATAATTTCAGATTTGCTGAAAAGTTATAAGAACAATACAAACCCACCCTTCCCTCTTCATCTCTATTTCCCAATTTTTTTACATTATCCTCTCATTTCTTTTATATACATATATATGGAGTTTTTTCCAAATCATTTGAAAGCAAATTTCCACTTGACCCCAAAAAACTTCACTGTACATTAATTGATTATCTGGTCAACAGAACTTAGGTTAGTCTGTTGTCCCAATATCTTTTATTGCAAAAAAAGAAAAAACTAAAGTCAGGCACAGTGATGTGTGTCTATTTCCCGCTATTTTGCTGAGGCAGGAGGATCACAAGTTTGAGATCAGCCTCGGCAATTTGGCAAGACCCTGTCTTAAAATTAAAAGAAGGGCTGGGGTCTAGCTCAGTGATAGAGCACACCTGGCTTCAGTGCTGCAAAAATAAAAATAAATAAACCCCTTTAAAATGAAAGGGAAAAAGTTCTGATTCAGGTTTCTCTGTTTGCTTTTTAACTCCACAGTTCCTCCTAAACATATTTAGTCAAGGCTGAGATGTCCATACCTAGCTGGAAGATTAGCTAAACAGCTCAGTTGTAGAGTTGCAGAGCATGCACTTAGCAAAGCCCTAGGTTCAGTCCCCAGCATTGGATATGCAAAATATTTTTTATCTATAAGGGAAAATGCTTCTTTCTCCCCTATTCATTCATTCATTTATTATATCAGTATGAATTCATTGATTCCCATTTTATTCAATGAATAAATAAATAAATAAATAATAAATTCAATCTGTTACTATCATTTGATTTATTTTGATGTCCAGTTCTCCTAGATTTAACCAATGCAATTTGTTCTTAATTTGTAATTTCTTACAAGTTTTTTTACAATATAAAATGAGTATATATAGATTGGGGATTGAACCCAGGGGCACTTGACCACTGAGCCACATCCCCAGTTGTATTTTTTTATTTTATTTTATTTTAGTTAAAGACAGGGTCTCACTGAGTTGCTTATCACCTCGCTTTTGCTGAGGCTGGCTTTGAACTTGCGATCCTCCTGCCTCAGCCTCCCAAACCGCTGGGATTACAGGCATGCACCCCGCACTTGGCTGGAAAGCTACTTCTTAAAAATGGGAATTGATGAGTCTTGTACAAATTCTTGTACAACAAGAAAGTTCGTATGATAATATAATAACATCTTTGGCACTAAAATGATTCCTAAGGTTACTTCAAACGTTAAAATGTTATGACTCTAAGAATATGTTTAAATTTTTCACATTAAAATATTTATACATTTTTTTTTTTTACTTTGCAGACTTAATAGAAGAAATGTGACATTAGACCCTGAATTTAGGCTCTGGCTAAGTTCAAAGACAGACAGTTCTTTCCCAGCCCCCATCCTTCAAAAGAGTATCAAGGTAAAAACAAAATATAACCTATTTTAATATTGCTTGAATGTAAGTCATCATGCTTTCATTACTCTGAGTTAAGAAGAAGAGTACTACTTCCAGAATGCTGAGTGTCTGCTTTGTGCTTTGCCTTGTGCTAAGGACAGGAGGGGAGCTAAAGTAGTAGATGAGATCTCTGCTTTCAAATAATTCACAATTTAGATTTTTTTTTCAAATAAAGATGTTAGGCTTCCAATTATTATAAGTTAAAATATACAATTTTTGAATTTTACCTGTCTTTGTAAGTTGCTTAGCACCTCGCTTTTGCTGAGGCTGGCTTTGAACTCTCGATCCTTTTTCGAATTTCTATTCCACTTATGGAATTTTCATTTCTTTTCTCAAAAGTTCTGGCAGAAAGCAGACTGAAGCTATTTACCAAAAAACTCTAAAAGGATATTGGAAACTTCTATTCATATCCCCCCCAATATTGAGGTTGAGTAAATACTAAGATATAGTCAATTCTGTTAACCAAGGTTCCAGGTGACCAAAAGAGGAGACCTAATAGCAGAGAAACTGACCAATGGCATAAGCAGAATGCTATGCTAGACACATGTCTGCGCACACTTCTGACTTTAACAGAATTGGGGTGGGATGGAGGACATGAGGGGCATGAGGTACTTCCTCATAAAGACCCAACTAGTATGAAAATAAATTAGATTCACTCTTGAAACTAGAAGTTTCTCCCTGTCACACTCTTCCCCAGCTCTTTCCCATCTCCTGTGTACTCTTGCACAGAGCCACTTCCCAATACTCTTGCCCCCAGAGCAGGCTTCAGAATATGGATTGGAGAAATCCAAGATCTCCCATTTGACTTAGGATATTCCATTTGTCTCCCAGGGTCTGGCAGATTATGACCTTAAACTACCATTATCCTTTGACCAGGAGTTGGGAGTGTTGGCAGGGACAGTAGAGGTAGCAGGTGCAGGGAATTAAAGGATACCAGAGAGGAACAGAGAGCTTCTGGAGGTCTTTTATTTTAATTAGGACTGTTGCTCTGATTCCACTGTAAGACCCCAATAGTTTTAAGTACTGCATATGTAAAATTGTATGGGATTTTGTCATATGCCATTATCCATACAGACAGAGATGGCAATTTTCTTAATACATAAATAAGAGTACCTACAAATAATTAAGGAAAACACTAATAGCTCATAAAAATGAATAAAAGATATAGGAGGTCAGTAACCATGAAAAAAGTAAAAAAGTTCAGTCTCTACACATCAGAGAATCACAGATCAAAATGACAAGATACCAATGAGACAGCCCATCAAATTAACAAAAATTAAGGATAGTTATGATATCGTTCGTGCTATTAAGGGCACTAAATAACCATTCTCATACAATGCTGACAATGTAGGATCAAAAAGAGATTAAGCCATTAAACTAGAGGGAATTTTTATATATTGAAAAGACAGAAAGAATTCTAAAATTTCATATAATTTGATGAAGTGATCTACTTCTAGTAAAGGATCAAATATATTATGGTGCATTTATGTGATAAAATAAAATGCTGTCACAGAAATCAAATTCCCCCTACCATCACACTCCCTTCATCCCCTTCCCCTCTTCCTTTCTCCTCTTTCACTTTCCCTTCACTTATAATTCTTAAGGGGTGGGCAGAAACCTGCTTTAGAGACACGAGAAGGAGTTTCTTAAAAGAATCAGTCACAGCAGTCATCAAACAACACTCTGAATATTTTCTCATTTCTACACATTCAGGGTTTTTCTGAGCAAAAATCACTGGCAACCTGCATTCAAGGATGCTTGAAAGGCAAATATGCCTGGGAAGATAAAGAATATCTCATCCACTGTGCACTTCCCACACTTCCAGATCCATTTGCTCATATTCTAAGGGTAATAGATGTAAAGAAGCCTGTCTTCTCTCTCTCCTGAAGCCATTGCCTTGCATTCTAAGGATAATGAAACCCAAAGCCATTTGCTTACACTCCAGGCTATAAAAACCTAGAAACCTGTCTCTTCCCCAGAAATAATTTGTTTACATTCCAAAGCAAAAGTCTACCTATCACCCCTGAAGGGGAAGAGATGCTACAATACCAGCCATTCTATAAGAACTTCAAGTTACAAAGTTCCAGATTCTCTCCCATAGTACAAACCCCACTCTACACACACGATGTATTTGCATGTGGCCCTCAGTACATAACCTGTGGGATACCAGCAGGGAAATGATATGAGCCATTCTGTGAGTAAATAATCAATTTGATCCTTGATTCAGAAGTTTCATGTCCACACACATATGTGTGTGTGTATATATATATGTGTGTGTACATGTATGTATATATATATACATATATGCATATACACTCAGTTTTATATGACATATACATATCCATGCAATTATTGCACATGTTATGTATAATAAACATAATGCATTTTTTATTTGCTGATGAATATGGAGAATAGTTCCATTCATAGCTTGGGTGTGTGTGTGTGTGTGTGTGTGTGTGTGTGTATAAACTGTGTAAGTCAGGTAACACTTCAGACCCTTCAGTTTCAGATTTAAAAAACAAACTCTCAAAAACACCTCTAATTGATTCCCTCTCCACCTCACCCAGTCTCTCATCATTTCAATCATTCTGGTTAAAAAAATCAACCAAATGGTTCTAAATGTAATCAAAACAATTTAGTAACACCAAATCTGTTGCTCTCATTTTTCATATGTGTACTGAAGAACACTTTTGGCAGTTAATCCTGTGATTTGACACCCGCTGCGTCTGCAACTATCGCCCCTAGCTGCCATCCGTGTGTAGGTTTGCACTGCAGGAACCCTTCATTGTCAAACATTCTAAAATGCTGTTCCCCAAACCCTATGCTTACAGCAAACAGAAGTGTTTTTAATAACAATGCTGTACTCCTCATTTTAAAATGTGAACTGGAACAATATAGAAACTCTGGAACAAGCCTATTACAGAAATTTTCAAATGGCAAAAGAATAAACAATATTTTTTATTTGCCAGTGAATGTTGAAAAGAGTTACATACTTAACTCTCATACCAGTGCTATACAAAAAGAATCTACTCTCTGCCCAGTGCCTGCTTCTCTATTCACATGGCATTTTCATTCCCATCTGCTTTAAAGATTGCCATGGAACCTACCCAGGGACTGAAAAGCAATTTGCTTCAAATGTTTGGTGGAAGTGGAGAGGTGACAGAAGAGATATTTGAAAACCCCAACTGTGGACAATGGTGGAAAAAACTATTATTCAACCTATGTTTTTTCAATGCTGTGAACAATGAAAGAAAAAATTATGGTACATGGGGCTGGAATATTGCTTATAAATTTATTTCTTCAGACTTGGAGGTAAGTGAGGTCTCTTCAGAACCAACAATAACAATAAGATACAAGCTGAGAGCCTACTGTGTGTCTACATATGTACTCAGTGTCCCACACAGGGGTAAGAAACAAACACTGTAACTAGGCAAAAAAGGCTAATGTTTAAAAACAGATTCTGAAGCCAGCATTTCTGGAATCAAATTATAGCCCCACCCCTTACAGCCATACAAGTATTTAATCTGTTGGGCAGGGTAATTAACCCTTCTGGGTCTTAGATTCCTTGGTGAAATAAAGCAGAGCAGGAGGGGAATAAATGTCCTACCCACTGTACAGGGCCACTAGAAGATGCAAACTAGTTAACAAAAGGAAGCACAGAGAACTGTGCCTGACCCACATAAAGTCACCCTAAAAATGTTTGTCAGTATTTCTTATTCAATTAAAGTAAAAGAGAGATTGTTACAATAACTCATTTTGGGAAAGGAGCTTAGCTTAATACCCTCTATAGAACCTCCTATGTGCTTTATTGCAGTGTGTTTACTTTATCATTAAAGTAGACAGGTAGTAGCCCCTGTTTAAATGTTTCCCAAGTTAATTTTCTCACAACTATGCTTTCAGCACAGACCAATGCACCCTTGACTACCCATTCATTTATACATTAGAGCAGATTTTAAAACTTTTCTGGGAAAATCTGGATCACCTTCTCTGTGTCTTCATCAGGCTTTTCTGGGTTTTGTGTTTTGTTGTCGTTAATGATTTATTATATTTTGTTTTGTTTTGAGCCCAGCATATTGCTGCAGGCTCAACTGCCAAAGTAGATGTTTCTATGCCTAATCAGGAATATAATATAAAAGAGCTACACTTTGGAGATCTGTCAAGGAATATGAACTCACACACAATTCTGTCCAGACATATTCAAAGCTTAGGCAAGACAAACAATACATTGGGAAATTCTTGTGCCATATATTAGACACTTTGGTACATAAATAATTGATATAGTCTTTTTATTTGAAAAAAAGGAAATGAATTCAAGGAAAAGAAAGGTAATCTTTAGTAGAAACAATATGTGTTTTTTTTTTAATTGTTATCTTCAGTGCTAGAAATTGAACACAAAACCTTGTATTTGCTAGGCAAGCACTCTACCACTAAGCATACCCCCAAGCCATTATGTCTTTAATTAAACAAAGAAAATAAATAACACCTTGATCAAACCATCAAAATTAAGAGGTCGGAAAGTAAAATAAGTCATAGCATAAAACAACATGAAAGGAATATTATCAGTCATTTTATTAAATGAACTACATTCCCTCATTAAAAGACAAGAACATTGGTTACTAGACCCAATGTATGCTATGTATAATAAATATACTTAATAAACAAACCTTGAAACTACCAAAGAAAGAAACAGAAATTTAAAAAAGCAGGAATGGCAATATGAATGAGTCAAGGTGGACTTTAAGCTGAAAAAGCACCAAAGAGAATGAGCTGGGGGTGTAGCTCAGTGGTAGAGAACTTGCCCAGCATGTGTGAGCTTCTGGGTTCCAGCCCCAGCACCACCAAGGGGAGAATAAAAACAGCACCAAATAGGTGAAAGAAAGAAAGAATTTTTAAAGAATATTTAACAGTCATAAAATTGTTAAGAGTGCTTTCTCTTAATATAAGGAGCACTTTATGGAGTAATAAAACCCCACAATCATTTAAAGAATATAGTATTAGCCTTATTTTATAGTTGAAATATAGAATTATGAAGCACATAATTTAAACATAGATGGTCTGTAAGTTTGTGTTCTCAGGCTGGGGTTGTGGTTCAGTGGTAGAGCACTTGTCTAGCATGTGTGAGACACAGGGTTCGATTCTCAGAACCACATACAAAAAATGAATAAAATAAAGGTTCATTAACAATTTAAAAAAAAATTTTAAAGTTTGGGTTCTAGATCATTATGTTAGATGTCTATACATCCATCAGACAATAGGATAATATTTTATCAATGAAAAGGGAAATCACAAAACACTTCGAATACAATGAGAGACAACTTCATATTTAAAAAGGACATGACAGTAAAAAAGCTATACTTGTGAAAAAATAGGGCCTTAAATGTCTTCATTATTAAAAAAGAAATATGTTAAATTAATACTCATCTTAAGAAGTAGAATAATACTAAGGAAATAAAGAATAAAACCAATATTAATGAAGTATACTAATATAGTAGAATGAAAAAATTCAAATTTTAATTTTTGATCCAATGAAATTTTAAAATTTAAATGAAGCCATTGATTTCCTAAAAAATATGAATGATCCAATTTGGAAATTTTCAATCAACCAGTTGCCATTAAAGACATTCAGAAGACACCTCAAGGAGACACCTCACAGCTTAGTTCACTCTGAACTGTAACCGATGGCATTAATGCTATTTAATCAAAATACACTCTACTGTCATGTATATCTAAAAAAAATTAAAAATAAAAAAATGCATTAAGATGAATAAATAAAGTATTACAGACCTTAGAAAAAGATGGCAATCTCCCAATTCCTTTTATGAAACCAACAGAAAGGTAATAGTATATGTAAGAACTATAGACTAATTTTATTTAGGACTTGAAATGTAAAAATTCTCTATAAAGTATTCATAGATTTCAATTATGAATCAAAAGAATAATGTACTATGATAAGTTGGGTTTAGTCTAGGAATGTAAGAATGACTCAATATCTGGAGATCTATAATCCTAATTTATATGACAAACAGATGTAAAAAAGTTACTGTGAATTTTGGAGCCATTTCTAATAAAAACTCTGAAGTGTTAGGATTAAAGGAACTATTTAAATATGACAAAGACTATCAAAACAACAGTGAATATTATTCTAAATAGTGAAACACAAAAAAATTATTTCAAATAAAATCTAGAATCAGACAAGGATGCACATTATTACCTGTATCATTCAATGTTATCTTACAAGTTCTAGGACATGGATTGAGATGAGAAAAGAAAATTAGAAACCCAGAATCATAAAAGTAGGAATATTTGAGTATAAAAACTTTTATATGGAAAATGGTGAGCAAGTAGTCAATAGACAAATAACACTTAGGATAATAGTTGCAATGCAGATTACTGACAAAAGGTTACTATCTATAATATAAAAGAACTCTTACATATTAGTAATAAAAAGACAAACATTCCAAAGGAAAAATAGGCAATGTACAGAAAATTTTAAAGACCAACTGACATAAGAGAAGAAGCTCAAGAAATCCAGCACCAGGTAAAATACAAAATAAACTAACAGAAATTTTCTACCTAATAGACTGGCAAAAAAAAAATTAATTAGTTGTCTTTCAATGTCATCAGGATGAATTGGTTCCAGGAATCCCCTCAAACGCTAAAATCTGAGGATGCTCATTGTTTCTTATACTATAAAATAATGTAGTATTTGCACAAAACCTACAAACATGCATATTCTCTCTCTCTCTCTCTCTCTCTCTCTCTCTCTCTTTTTTTGATTTTTTCTTTTTTTTTTTTTTGGTGCCAGGGATTGACCTCAGGGATATTTAACCACTGAGCCACATCCCCCAGCCCATATATATATGGGCTTTCTTTTCTTTTCTTAACTTAGATACAAGGTCTCCCTAAATTGCTGAGGCTGGCTTTGAACTTGCAATTCTCCTGCCTCAGCCTCCCCAGCCACTGGGGTTACAGGTGTACACCATTACACGTGGCCTTTCATATATTTTAAATCATCTCTAGATTGCTTATAAGACCTAATACAATGTAAGCTCTACGTAAATCATTGTTATAGTGTGCTGTTTAGGGAATAATGCAAGAAAAAGTCTGTACTTGTTCAGTACAGATGCTTTTGGTTTTTTGGAGTTTGGTTCCATTTTGTGGAATATTTTCAATCTGTGCTTGGTTAAATCCATGGATGCAGAATCTACAAATTACAGAGAACTAACTGTTGACCAGCCATCTCCCATTAGTGGCAGGAATGAGAGAACAGTGGCAAAGAATTCTTTCACGAAGCAGAAATAATGAATTGTTCCAGCCACTGAACAATGATAGCCAACATACATTTTCCAACTGCAGAACAGTGTTACACTAAACTAGTATTTGTGGGAGCAAGGAGACAGGAAAACAGAAAGATGGGGAGTCAAAAGAGAAAAGGTAGAATGGAAGAGAAGGGAAGACAGGAAGGGAGGGAAGGAATGAGAGAAGGAACCAATCCCATTTATATTCATCCACTATGTGCATTCCACTAGTTACACTAGAATATCTTTGTAAAGACACCCAAGAAATTGTTACCAATGTTGGCCAACGGAGGGGAGCTCATAGCTAGAGAACAGGGTAAGGGCAAACTTTCTTTCCCTTGTTTACCCTTCAGTACCTTTTGAATTCAAAACCACAGGCTTGTTTTGTCTGTTCAAAGAAGTAATAATAATTAAATGAAATGGTTCAACTGTCAACAACAAAAAAAGAGCTAGTGGATAAATGTATATCCAAATCTCCAAATATGCTTATTTCTCTTGCTATTTCCATATTTTTTATTTTATTTATTTATTTATTGGTACTGGGAATTTAACCCAGGGGTGCTCAACCATTGAGACACATCTCCAGCCCCTTTTATATTTTATTTTGAGACAGGGTCTCGCTAATTTGCTGAGGCTAGCTTTGAACCTGTGATCTTCTTGCGTCAGTCTCCCCAGCTGCACAGAATTGGGATGCTGAGCCCGGCTCAAAATAGATTTTAAAAAGAAAATACATGTAGCTGCTGAGAGTTGTTGGTTTTATGTTAAAATGTCGGTTAAGCTAAAAACACACACTGAAATAATAAAGCCTAGTGGATTTTCTCAAGTTTTCCATAAAGGTCTTGGCAAATGTCCTGAGTAAAGAGTCTGAAATTCCGTGGCCATCTGTGCGCTACTTGATCGGGGAAGTGATTTATGGCAGCCGGGTTACTGATATCTGGGACAAGCGATGCTTAAAGACACTCCTCTACAAATTTTGCAATCCTGAAGTGCTGAAAGATGACTTCAGTTTCTCTAGTGATGCGGTAAGGAAATTTATCTTATAATTTTGCCCAATCATTAACTAACCATTGTTGCATTTTAATGTTCATTTTAATGGCTTTTATTTAATTTTAAATAGTCTTACAAAAGCAATTTACCCATTACTCTATTAAACACAACATTACAAAGGAAAAGGATGGAAAAGAAACAGTCCATGAAATCTGAGAACCTAGAGTTATAGCATACAAATCTGGCGGGAGACACCACCATGCACCCTGGGCTGAGCCTAAAGAGAGAGTAAAGACCACATCAACCCTACTACGTGTGTGCCTTTTGATCCAAACCATAACTATTATTTTCACATTCCTTTCACAGGTTTTACTAAAGTAGAACTATTTGTTTAAGCTCTATTGCATTCATTATCCATGAGTATAGTTAATTGAGCAATGAATGGTTAGAATCACCCTAGTCTTTTAACACTTTTTTCCCTTTTTCTCTCTTTTGCCAAAAGGTTAGATGTATGTAATATATACTTTACAATACGGTAGTCCCAGATGTTACTTTTGACAGAGTGTTTAAAATATACTATATACAAATAAGAAGAATATTCTGTATAAAATTTCATGGAGAAATATTGCCTTCATACATTAGTGAAAGTAGGTGTCTCACTCGGGCAAAAACTAACCAAGTGCTTAAATTTTCAGATGTGTCAACCCATACCAGAATCTGCAAGCATAAAAGACTGCATACACATTATCGAGTCCTTACCCGAAGATGATTCGCCCGAGATCTTAGGAATACACCCTGAGGCCCAAAGGAGCATCAGGGAGATCCAGGGCCAGAAGTTCATCGAAAATCTCATTGCCCTGCAACCAAAAACTACCACCGACAAACTCACGATCAAGTAAGAAAGCACTAGGAAAAAGTTTAGTCAACAGTTATTAAATATTTATTTGGAGATATATAGTAGAGAACTTACAGGAAAGTATAAGTTACATGGTAGAGAAACTAAATTCTTCACACACATTACTTACAAGCATGCAGAAGTTTGTTAAATGAGTGACCGAATTGTGCCTGGTAAGTAGTATCTTAAAAATAAATTTCTTTAAATGTGAAATTTGCATATTTAATTCTGTAGACTAGAAAGGGATAATCATCATAAGTAACAAGACAATGTTCTCAAGAACTAGCCCTGTACTTAGAGGCCTGTGTGTATTATAGCTCTATTCGTTCTGCATCTGAGGTCATATGGCTTCAATATCTTTATCAATAAATGTGGATAATAATATCTGTCTACCCATTGAGGCTGTTTTGAGGTTAAAATGGAATAACACATTTAACCCAAATATCCAGGCCTTCTCAGCCTATGACTATAAAATAAGGTGAGGGTTGTTAATGCCAGCACTACAGGGCTCAAGCCCCAGTGGTTTGATTGTCAAATGGATGATCCTTGCTCTTCCTTCCCGATCAAAGTGCCCCAGATGTCACAGACATCTCCTGTGACACTCACTCATAGCTGCTCAGGAAATAGGTCACATGCACACTCCTTCTTCCTCTCTGCCTTCCTAACTAGACCCAGCTTCAAATCCCACCTACAGCCCTTGATTTATGGATTTAAGGAAGCCAACGAACTCCTACTGTCTTAGGTTCTTCATCTCTGCATCAGATCATAACAGTGCCCATCCCACCAGGGCTGTTCTGAAAATCCAGTGAGTTTCATATGCAGTTAGGTTAAGCTTAGAAATCCAGTCTCTCAATTGATAAATCTAACATATTTTAACAATCACTTTTAAAAGGTCTTTGAATAACATTTGATCCCATTATAGACTTAATCAAACATTTTTAAACATATTCATATGAAGTTAATGGACTTCTGTTGCCTTCTACCAAAATTTAAGTTTTTCGATTTTTTTTTATAAATCTAATAAATAAATAAATATGGTGAACCTTTTCTTAATTTTTTAGATTTTTTTGTATGTGGATGGACAGCATACCTTTATTTTATTTGTTTATTTTTATGTGGTGCTAAGGATTAAACCAGTGCCTCACAAATACTAAGCTAGTACTCTACCACTCAGCCATACCAGCCCAAATATGGAGAATCTTAAATTCTTATTCTTCTACCTCAATCTAGTTGGATTTCACCTTAAATTGCAATTTTTTTGTTTGTTGTTTTTTAGATATATATGACACTAAGGTGTATTTTGACATATTTTGCATTCATGAAATATAACCCATTCCAAATAGGATCTCATTTTTGTGGTTGTACGGTATGGAGTTACACTGGTTGTGTATTCATATATGAGCAAAGAAAAGTTATGTCTGATTCATTCTACTGTCTTTCCTATTCCCATCCCATCTCCCTTCCCTTCATTCCCCTTTGTCTAATCCAATGAATTTCTATTCTTTCCCTTCCTACCCTCCCTTGTTGTGGGTTAGCATCCACATATCATAACATTCAGCTTTGGTTTTTGTTTTTGTTTGTTTGTTTTTTGGACTGGCTTATTTCACTGAGCATGATATTCTCTAGTTCCATCCATATTCAAGCAAATGCTATAACTTATTTCTTCTTTATGGTTGAGTAATATTCCATTGTGTGTATACAATTTCTTTATCCATTCATCTGTTGCATGGTACCTGGGTCAGTTTCATAGCTTGGCTATTGCGAATTGACCTGCCATAAACATTGATGTGGCTACATCACTGTAGTATGCTGATTTTAAGTCCTTTGGGTATAAACCAAGAAATGGGATAACTGGGTCAAAAGGTGGTTCCATTCCAAGTTTTATTAGTAATCTCCATACTGCTTTCCAGAGTGGTTGCACCAATTTGCAGTCCCACCAGCAATGTGTGAATGTACCTTTTTCCTCTCATCCTCGCCAACATTTATTGTTCCTTGTATTCTTGATAATTGCCATTCTAACTGGAGTGAGATGGAATCTCAGTGTAGTTTTAATTTGCATTTCTCTAATTACTAGAGATGTTGAACATTTTTTGTGTATTTTTTGACCATTCATATTTCTTCTTCTGTGAAGTGCCTGTTTTTTGGTTTTTTGGTGTTAAGTTTTTTGATTCCTTTGTATATCCTGGAAATTAATGAGCTATCTGAGGTGCAAGTGGCAAAGATTTTCTCCCATTCTGTAGATTCTCTATTCATGTTCTTTTTTTTTTTAATTTTTTTATTAGTTGCTCAAAACATTACAATGATCTTGACATATCATACATTTGATTCAAATGGGGTACATAATCTTATTTTTCCACGTGTACAGATTGCAGGATCACATTGGTTATACAGCCACATTTATACATAGGGCCATACTAGCGTCTATTGTATTGTGCTGCCCTTCTTATCCCCCCTCCCCTCCCCTCCCCTCCCATCACCTCTTTCTACCCAATCTACTGTAACACGTTTCTCTCTCTTTTTTCTTCCCCCTCACACCATCTTACATGTAATTTTGCATAACCATGAGGGTCTCCTACCATCTTCCGTGCAATTCCCCTTCTCTCTCCCATTCCCCCGCACCTCTCATCCCTATTTAATGGTAATCTTCTTCTCATGCTCTTCCTCCCTGCTCTGTTTTGGGTCGCCCCCCTTATATCAAAGAAGACATTCTGCATTTGTTTTTTAGGGATTGGCTAGCTTCACTTAGCATAATCTACTCTAATGCCATCCATTTCCCTGCAAATGCCATGATTTTGTAATTTTTTAGTGCTGAGTAATATTCCATTGTATATAAATGCCATTTTTTTTTTATCCATTCATCTATTGAAGGGCATCTGGGTTGATTGCATAGTCTAGCTATTGTGAATTGTGCTGCTATGAACATTGATGTAGCTGTGTCCCTGTTATATGCTCTTTTTAGGTCTTTTGGGTATAGTCCGAGAAGGGGAATAGCTGGGTCAAATGGTGGTTCCATTCCCAGCTTTCCAAGGAATCTCCATACTGCTTTCCAAATTGGCTGAACCAATTTGCAGTCCCACCAGCAATGTACAAGTGTACCCTTTTCCCCACATCCTTGCCAGCACTTGTTGTTGTTTGACTTCATAATGGCTGCCAATCTTACCGGAGTGAGATGGTATCTTAGGGTGGTTTTAATTTGCATTTCTCTGATTGCTAGAGATGAGAGCATTTTTTCGTGTATTTGTTGATTGATTGTATATCCTCCTCTGAGAAGTGTCTGTTCAGATCCTTGGCCCATTTGTTGATTGGGTTATTTGTTTTCTTGTTGTTTAATTTTTTGAGTTCTTTGTATACTCTGGAGATTAGAGCTCAGCTCTATCTGAAGTGTGAGGGGTAAATATTTGTTCCCAGGATGTAGGCTCCCTATTTACCTCTCTTATTGTTTCTCTTGCTGAGAAAAAAACTTTTTAGTTTGAATATGTCCCAATTGTTGATTCTTGATTTTAACTCTTGTGCTATAGGTGTCCTATTAAGGAATTTGGAGCCCGACCCCACAAGATGGAGATTAGGGCCAACTTTTTCTTCTATTAAACGCAGAGTTTCTGGTTTAATTCCTAGCTCCTTGATCCATTTTGAGTTAACTTTTGTGCAAGGTGAGAGAGAGGGATTCAACTTCATTCTGTTGCATATGGATTTCCAGTTCTCCCAGCACCATTTGTTGAAGATGCTATCCTTTCTCCATTGCATGCTTTTGGCACCTTTGTCTAATATAAGGCAGTTATAATTTTGTGGATTGGTCTCTGTGTCCTCTATTCTGTTCTATTCATGTTCTTGATTGTTTCCTTTGCTATGAAGAAGCTTTTTAGTTTTATGCCATCCCATTTATTGATTCTTGGTAAATCATAAATTTAAATCAATTTCTCCCTCTAAGGTTTAAGAGATCCCATTCTCTTAAACATTACAAATATTTAAAATAATAGCATTCCTTAATACAGAAACATTTTTTACAGAGTTGTGATTCTGTTAAACCTAATTATACCTAATTATAAATCTTTCCAAAATTGAAAAACACTTATGATAGATCGATTTTATCATTTTGCATGATTTTTGAGTTTGCCTTCTCAATTCACTTGAGTTTGGGATAAAACAAGAGTTCAACCAAAAAATGAATTAATTCTTTTTGTCAACATTGATAGGATCCTCTGAACATTTTTTACAGCTGTTGTGACCATAAAATTAATTCCATAGTTCTGTGAGATGCTGGTCACATCACACACACCCTTGGATATCAATTGCACACTATCTAGTACATCTGTGTACTTATAGATTGAGTTTTACATTTCTTTGGCTCTTTAAATATGTGTAAATTTTTCCCATGTGCCTCTGACATCTTTGAGCCTCTTGGTATTCTGCACTCTTACAGTCTTCACATCATTGTGGACCATAACTCCGATCACAATGACATTGGATTGAATTCTGTCTATGGCTTAGGGTTTAGATTGATTAATTGATTGTACCATCCATGTTCATCCTACTGACACAAAATAAAGATAACTGAAATCCCACTTCACTGACAGAGTGAATATATACTATTTCTTCGGGTGATATGAGGAAAACTTAGGCACATAGAGGGGAAAAAAGAAGAAGAATAAGAAAGCTCAGTTGGAAACACCAACACGTCCCCAGATTAGCAGGTTGAATTTTCTTAGACCCTGCACTTCCATATTGTTAGCATTCACCAAATACACTAGTCAGAGATGAGACAGGTTCAAGAGAATGCTTTTAATAAACACCTTAAGTGTGTTTATGAATGTCACTTGGGTCAGTTGGGGAGGCTGTGATCATCCCAGTCATGCAGCCTCTGTTCAGAATCTATAGAAACTTGCCTATAGGACTTAACTCAAAAGATCTATGGCATTCAATATGATTGACACCTTTTGACCTTTCAACTTACCTTTTGAAGCCACCTTGGATGAATTCTACTGAAAAACCCAACTTTTAAATCAGAAGTAAAGTGTGGCTTCAGCTGGGGCTGTAGGTCAGTGGTAAAGCCCTTGCCTAGCATGGAGGAAGCCCTAGGTTCAATCCCCCGTACTGAAAAAAGAGAAAAAAAATCAAAGTGTGATGACAAACTAAGGAAACATATTCCCTCAGGTGATTTGTACACTGGCCCAGAAGTGACACTGCTGGACTAAATACATAGTGCTAATATTAACACTTACTTTGAAGGCTGACATGCATCTGGCTTTGTGAAAAAGAAACCTGAAGTGTTAGGTGAAAAATCAATCCCCACTAGTAAAAAGAGCAACAGAGAGTGGGCCCCATTCGCTACTCATCCAGAAAATGTCTAAGCCCTGGTTTCCTCATCTTTGGAATTGGATGGTCTTGAGTAGTCCCACAGCCTCCCCAGGACCTGTACACACACTGTCCTCCGGTCACCACGCACTGAGTGTGCTATCAGGAAACCCTTTATGTAAACACAAGGATTTGACAAGCAGATGAACTTCTTAGAAGCTGCTTCAGCATGACGTCAAGTTGCCCCGTTTTTTCATGCCGTTCATATAGAGGTATTCAGATGACTGTTTTTTAAAGGAATCCTAAGAAAACTTTGTTGTTTTTTGTTTGTTTGTTTGTTTGTTTTGTTTTATTTTGCTGTAGAAAATGCTCCAGCTTCCATAATTCTTTATTAAATATTTGACAAGTCACATCACTTTTTATAATGACTTTATTTTGCCACATTACTCTTTTGCTGTCAGGAAAACAAGCGACGGTTTCTCTTTAGCTCTCTCAAGAAAGAAAAGCAAAAAGGACTTGTTCTTGAACAAAACTTTTCCTGTATCAAATTCAACCTTATTTTAAAGCTATTCTGATTGTGAAAATGAGCATTATCCATAAGTTGTTTTTTTTTTTTTTTTATCAAGGTAGTTGGTTTTGTTTGACCATATAGTACTTGGCTTCATTTTAGGAGATGGGTTTATAATAAAAAGTTATGAAACATTTTTAATTATTCATTTTTTGTTGTTGTTCTAATTAGTTATACATGATAGTAGGTTGTATTTTGACATATTATACACACATGTGTTAAGGCGAGATTGCAATAAATCACCAAGTCGATCTTAAAGCAGGAGATGGAAACTTTATTCACCAGGTGGCGATCCAGATCCACCAGCTGGTGGGCCAAGGGATAGGCTGCAAGTCTACACCCTTCGACCCCCTCCCGGGGTTTGAGTACACCTTTTATAGTCCAAAACCATACTAAAGCATAAGTGTGGCTTCAGCTGGGGCTGTAGGTCAGTGGTAAAGCCCTTGCCTAGCATGGAGGAAGCCCTCAAACATTATGAGATCTAAAATCATAAGCATAAAAGAGAGTGGGCCAAAACGTCCCTAGTTGTGTACAAGTTAAAGAATGGTTACTCACATCTAGACAATCAATCTCTGACAGTGAACATTGTCCAAGAAAAATGGGAACCAAAGAGAGAACACTTTTATATTGTATAAGAATTGCCATTTTGTGTTGCCTAACATGCTATGCTAAGCAACTGTTGATGGGTACAGAGGTGGGGCTTTCCCTGGAAGAAACGTTTCTTACATGATGTGGGGTAAATGGAGTCTGTTTGGTCATTGCCCATATAGCCTGGCCCATAACATAAGGAGTGTAACTTCTCATTCTTCTGGTTTTACATGAGGAAGAATTACATTGTTCATGTGATCATATATGCACATAGAATACTAATGACCAATTCATTCTATTATCTTTCCTATTCCATTCCCCCTCTCTTCCCTTCATTTCCTTTTGTCTAATCCAAAGTGCTTCTATTCTTCTCTAACCCAGCTCCCTTATTGTTAAACTGGTATCCATATATCAGAGAAAATATTCAGCCTTATTTTTGGGGGATTGGCTTATCACTTAGCATGATATTCTCAGTTCCATCCATTTATCTGCAGATAAAGGAATCCTAAGAAAACTTTTAAAATGCACATTTTCTTACAAATGTCTAAAAGTCATTGGTCAGTTTTGTCATATGTGAAGTGTAGTCAGTGAGCTCCATGGTGTCCATAAAATCTTTCATCACACAGGTGTGTGGTTCTGTAAAGCTCTGTTTCCTTTTCTATGGGGCTGAAACCCAAATATATCAGTCATTGTGGATTAGACAGACCCATGTCACATTCCTCTCATGGTTTCCTTTGCAGTCCTCATCAGAGTAATGATGAACTCATGATAGAAATTGTATCTGACCTACTGAAGCGGCTGCCGCTGACAGTGGAGAAAGAAGAGTGTCCCAGCACATTGAAAAGTCTCCTGTCCAGCTCCATTTGGGAGTCTCTCTATAAAAATATCAAAGGTGAGCATATGACCTGAACTCCTTCCCCTTACCTCAGCCTCCTCAGGAAGAAACTCTGCTGTCAGAAGAAGGCAGAGTCAGGAATAAAGTACAGTACCACAGCTGGAAAAAGGGTGAGGCAAGATGGGAAGCCAAATCTCCACTCCAGAGATAGGAGCAGAAAAGAAATTGATGGTGTCATTTGGGTCTTCACAGAGACCAAAAGTAAAGCAAACAAGAAAGCAGCAACTCTGCTGGGAAAATTCTAAAAAGCTTTCTAGGTCCCTGTTCTTTCTGGCTCTGTGTCTCTGCTCTCTGGAAAAGCATCTGGGGCAGCAGGGTTGAGATGAATCCTCTGATGGGAGACCTCTCAATACTGAGAAAGTAAGACAAGGAAGGGCAGGCCCAGAGTTGCCCAAATTAGTTCCAGGCACAGCTCCAAGGGGCTAAATTCCTGGACTGGGGCAATTTCTGAGTTAAATTTTAACATCCATATTCTAACCCAAAAACAATTCATTTGGAAACAAACGTTGAGCAATAGTCTATCAAAATAGTCATGCACCTCATAATGACATTTAAATTGACGACAGATCACATATGTATGATGGCCCCATAAAGTTATGTCACCTGGTGACATCAGAGTCGTTTTAATTTAAGTAAGCACACCCTAATATTTGCATAAGGATGAAATCTATGGATGCATTTCTCAGAATATGTCCCCACTGTTAAGTGAGACATGACTGTGGTACTGAAATTTTTGAGTCTTGATCGAGGTTCATCAAATAAGGGATTTCAGGCTAAATCCAGTCTTTTATACAACTGGCAAGCTCAAAGGAATTTTTATATTATTTAATGGTTGAAAAAAATCAATACTTTGTGACACATAACTACTATTTGAAATTCTGATTTGAGTGCCATAAATAAAATTTTATTGGGATATGGCCATTCTTATTTGTTTAACTTTGTCTATGGCTGCAAGAGGAGAACCGAGTAATTGTAACAGAAATGATGCCGTCCATAAACCCTGAAAGATCTGCTATCTGAACTTCTACAGAAAATGTTTATCGACCCCGGGTAAAGACACGTGAAATTTCCTTAACTTTCAAAACCTGTGTCCCTCTCATGCAAAGCCTCTTTTTAATCTATAACATATCAAAGTTTTATCTCTTTTTTTTAATTCCAGGCCATGATCCCCTTATCCATTGTGTCTTAATAGTCTTTTTGAACCAAGAAATAGGACGATTTAATAAGCTATTAAGTGTCATACATAAATCTTTAAAAGATCTTCAACTTGCTCTAAAAGGAGAGAGCATCCTCACTCAAGAACTGGAAGAAATATACGACTCTCTTCTCAATACAAAAGTTCCCTTACTGTGGCAGGTAAGCAATTACCATTCCCTGCTTACTTGCTTGCTTGAAAGAAACATCCAGGATCCAGGAACTGATTAGGTTAACAATGGTACATCTGTATGGTGTAATTCTATGCAGTCATTTAAAAATGCTGACATACTTTTGATATGAGTACATATTCATACAACTTCTTTTTTTTTTTATTGGTTGTTCAAAACATTATAAAGCTCTTGACATATCATATTTCATACATTAGATTCAAGTTGGTTATGAACTCCCAATTTTACCCCAAATACAGATTGCAGAATCACATCGGTTACACATCCACATTTTTACATAATGCCCTATTAGTAACTGTTGTATTCTGCTACCTTTCCTATCCTCTACCATCCCCCCTCCCTCCCCTCCCGTCTTCTCTCTCTACCCCATCCACTGTAATTCATATCTCTCCTTGTTTATTTTCCCATTCCCCTCACAACCTCTTATATGTAATTTTGTATAACAATGAGGGTCTCCCTCCATTACAATGCAATTTCCCTTTTCTCTCCCTTTCCATCCCACCTCATGTATCTGTTTAATGTTAATCTTTTCTTCCTGCTCTTCCTCCCTGCTCTGTTCTTAGTCGCTCTCATTATATCAAAGAAGACATTTGGTATTTGTTTTTTAGGGATTGGCTAGCTTCACTAAGCATAATCTGCTCTAGTGCCATCCATTTCCCTGCAAATTCTATGATTTTGTCATTTTTTAGTGCTGCGTAATACTCCATGATGTATAAATGCCACATTTTTTTATCCATTCATCTATTGAAGGGCATCTGGGTTGGTTCCACAGTCTAGCAATTGTGAATTGTGCTGCTATGAACATCGATGTAGCAGTATCCCTGTAGTACGCTCTTTTAAGGTCTTCAGGGAAAAGTCCAAGAAGGGCAATAGCTGGGTCAAATGGTGGTTCCATTCCCAGCTTTCCCAGGAATCTCCATACTGCTTTCCAGATTGGCCGCACCAGTTTGCAGTCCCACCAGCAATGTACAAGAGTACCCTTTTCCCCACATCCTCTCCAGCACTTGTTGTTGTTTGACTTCATAATGGCTGCCAATCTTACTGGAGTGAGATGGTATCTTAGGGTGGTTTTGATTTGCATTTCTCTGACTGCTAGAGATGGTGAGCATTTTTTCATGTACTTGTTGATTGATTGTATGTCCTCCTCTGAGAAGTGTCTGTTCAGGTCTTTGGCCCATTTGTTGATTGGGTTATTTGTTTTCTTATTGTTTAATTTTTTGAGTTCTTTGTATACTCTGGATATTAGGGCTCTATCTGAAGTGTGAGGAGTAAAAATTTGTTCCCATGATGTAGGCTCCCTATTTACCTCTTTTATTGTTTCTCTTGCTGAGAGAAAACTTTTCAGTTTAAGTAAGTCCCATTTGTTGATTTTTGTTATCAACTTTTGTGCTATGGGTGTCCTATTAAGGAATTTGGAGCCCGACCCTACAATATGTGGATCGGAGCCAACTTTTTCTTCTATCAGACGCAGAGTCTCTGATTTGATATCTAGCTCCTTGATCCACTTTGAGTTAACTTTTGTGCATGGCGAGAGGAGGGGATTCAGTTTCATTTTGTTGCATATGGATTTCCAGTTCTCCCAGCACCATTTGTTGAAGATGCTATCCTCCCTCCATTGCATGATTTTAGCTCCTTTATCAAATATAAGATAGTTGTAGCTTTGTGGATTAGTCTCTGTGTCCTCTATTCTGTACCATTGGTCCACCCTCCTGTTTTGGTACCAGTACCATGCTGTTTTTGTTACTATTGCTCTGTAATATAGTTTTAAGTCTGGTATCGCTATACCGCCTGATTCGCACTTCCTGCTTAGAATTGCTTTTGCTATTCTGGGTCTTTTATTTTTCCATATGAATTTCATGATTGCTTTATCCATTTCTACAAGAAATGCCGTTGGGATTTTGATTGGCATTGCATTAAACCTATAGAGAACTTTTGGTAATATCACCATTTTGATGATGTTAGTTCTGCCTATCCATGAACAGGGTATATTTTTCCATCTTCTAAGATCTTCTTCTACTTCTCTTTTTAGGGTTTTGTAGTTTTCATTATATAAATCTTTCACCTCTTTTGTTAGGTTGATTCCCAAGTATTTTATTTTTTTTGAGGATATTGTGAATGGAGTGTTTTTCCTCAATTCCGTTTCAGAAGTTTTGTCGCTGATATACAGAAATGCCTTTGATTTATGCGTGTTGATTTTATATCCTGCCACTTTGCTGAATTCATTTATTAGTTCCAGTAGTTTTTTTTGTAGACCCTTTTGGGTCTTCTAGGTGTAGAATCATGTCATCTGCAAATAGTGATAATTTAAGTTCTTCCTTTCCTATTTTTATGCCTTTAATTTCTTTCGTCTGTCTAATTGCTCTGGCCAGTGTTTCGAGAACTATATTGAATAGAAGTGGTGATAGAGGGCATCCCTGTCTTGTTCCAGATTTTAGGGGGAATGCCTTCAATTTTTCTCCATTGAGAATGATGCTAGCCTGAGGCTTAGCATAGATAGCTTTTACAATGTCGAGGTAAGTTCCTGTTATCCCTAGTTTTTCTAATGTTTTGAACATAAAGGCATACTGTACTTTGTCGAATGCTTTTTCTGCGTCTATTGAGATGATCATATGGTTCTTATTTTTAAGTCTATTGATGTGGTGAATAACATTTATTGATTTCCGTATATTGAACCATCCTTGCATCCCAGGGATGAATCCTACTTGATCATGGTGCACAATTTTTTTGATGTGCCTTTGTATCCGATTCGCCAGAATTTTATTGAGGATTTTTGCATCTAGGTTCATCAGAGATATTGGTCTGTAGTTTTCTTTCTTTGAGGTGTCTTTGTCTAGTTTCGGAATCAGGGTGATGTTGGCCTCATAGAATGAATTTGGCAGAGCTCCTTCTTTTTCTATTTCCTGAAATAACTTGAAAAGTATTGGTATTAATTCTTCCTTAAAGGTTTTGTAAAACTCCGCTGTATACCCATCCAGTCCTGGGCTTTTCTTGGTTGGAAGTCTTTTGATTGCTTCTTCTATTTCATCTATTGTTATTGGTCTGTTTAAGTTGTGAGTATCCTCCTGACTCAGTCTGGGCAAATCATATGACTTAAGGAATTTATCGATGTATTCACTATCTTCTATTTTATTGGAATATAGGTTTTCAAAATAATTTCTAATTGTCTTCTGTATTTCTGTAGTGTCTGTTGTGATATTGCCTTTTTCATCCCGTATGTTAGTGATTTGAGTTCTCTCTCTTCTTCTCTTCTTTAGCATGGCTAAGGGTCTGTCGATCTTATTTATTTTTTCAAAGAACCAACTTTTAGTTTTGTTAATTTTTTCAATAGTTTCTTTTGTTTCAATTTCGTTGATTTCCGCTCTGATTTTAATTATTTTTTGCCTTCTGCTACATTTGCTGTTGTTTTGCTCTTCCTTTTCTAGGGCTTTGACATGAAGTGTGAGCTCATTTATTTGTTGGTTTTTCCTTTTTTTGAGGAATGACCTCCAAGCGATGAATTTCCCTCTTAAAACTGCTTTCATTGTGTCCCATAGATTCCGATATGTTGTGTCTGTATTTTCATTTATCTCTAAGAATTTTTTGATTTCCTCCTTTATGTCTTCTGTAACCCATTGATCATTCAGTAACATATTGTTCATTTTCCATGTGATGTAGGATTTTTCCTTCCTTCTTTTATCATTGATTTCCAGTTTCATTCCATTATGATCAGATAAAATGCATGGTATTATCTCCACCCCTGTATATTTACTGAGGGTTGCCCTATGGCATAATATATGGTCTATTTTTGAGGAGGATCCATGTGCTGCTGAGAAAAAAGTATATCCACTTGATGATGGTTGATATATTCTATATATGTCAGTTAAGTCTAGGTTGTTGATTGTGAAATTGAGTTCTATAGTTTCTTTATTCAGCTTTTGTTTGGAGGATCTGTCCAATGGTGAGAGAGGTGTGTTGAAGTCACCCATAATTATTGTGTTGTGGTCTATTTGATTCTTGAACTTGAGGAGAATTTGTTTTATGAACGTCGCAGCACCATTATTTGGTGCATAAATATTGATAATTGTTATGTCTTGTTGGTGAATGGTTCCTTTTAACAGTATATAATGTCCTTCCTTATCCCTTTTGATTAATTTAGTCTTGAAGTCAATTTTATTCGATATGAGGATGGCCACCCCTGCTTGCTTACGAGGACCGTGTGCGTGGTATATTTTTTCCCAACCTTTCACCTTCAGCCTGTGTATGTCTTTTCCAATCAGATGTGTCTCCTGGAGGCAGCATATTGTTGGATTTGTTTTTTAATCCATGTTACCAGCCTATGTCGCTTTATTGGAGAGTTTAAGCCATTAATGTTTAGAGTTACTATTGATATATGGTTTGTACTTCCAGCCATGTTTGATTATTTATCTTCTTCTTCTTTTTTTTTTTTTAATTTAGTTTGTTTCTCCATGGTTAGCTTTCCCCCCGCCCTCTGTCTTTATAGAGGCACTTCCCACTGATGGTTTTGGTTATTGTTTTTCATTTCTTCCTCGTGTAGTGTTTTGCTCAAGATGCTTTGCAATGCTGGTTTTCTGGCTGCAAATTCTTTTAGCTTTTGTTTATCATGAAAGATTTTTATTTCGTTATCGTACCTGAAGCTTAATTTTGCTGGATACAGAATTCTTGGTTGGCATCCATTGTCTTTCAGTGTTTGAAATACGTTGTTCCAGGATCTTCTCGCTTTCAGCGTCTGTGATGAAAAATCTGTTGTTAACCTTATTGGTTTACCCCTGAATGTAATCTGCCTCCTTTCTCTTGTAGCTTTTAGTATTTTCTCTTTGTTCTGTATATTGGATATCTTCATAACAATGTGTCTTGGTGTTGGTCTACTGTGATTTTGTGTGCTCGGTGTCCTGTATGCATCTACAATTTGTATATCTGTTTCCTTTTTTATTTCTGGAAAGTTTTCTGTAATTATTTCTTTCAGCAGGTTAC